TTACCCTTATCAGAATTTTCATAACCTGGTTTGCAAAATTAAGAAAACTTCTTAAATATCATAATCTGTTCTTACGTTTAAGAACAACTGAAAATGTTATTAAATTTAAGATACATTTTGGTCTTAAATTTCAGAATATTTTTTACAGTGTATTGTGTTTTCAGTTTTTTGAACGGCGTTGGGTAAGTACGGAGCGACCGTACCTCCGTTTGAGTGCTACGGCGTCGGAAAACGGTTCTCTTCCGTACCGATTTTTGTGGGTACGGTGAAGCCGTTTAACAGCTCCGAGGTTAAAAGTCAGTGGGTACGGTCTCTCCGTACTCTGTGCTCCGTAGCATGTTTCAGTTTGGCACGTACGAAGCACCGTACCTGGTACCGTATCCGTCTCTCATTTTTACAGTGGTCAAGGGATTTGAAATTTTCAGGGATAATTGGCTCAACTTCCTGTGGAATATGAAACACGACCCAGCTTCTAACAAAAATGTCGTCCCCGTTCTACTCTATATTTCCTACGTGTTAAAACCCGCTTGTTTCTCGCGCACTCAAACGGCCTCTACGCTACGAGCCGAGGTTTGATAGGGTTGAGTCGACTCGCTCCGTGGGGCCGAACCAGAAATGGGACCGCAGCACGCCAGCGCGGGGCCCGCGGGTTGCTACGGTATTGGTCCTCGGCCCCGCACTCCTTCCCGTCGCCCCTTTCCCTCCTCCTCTCGTAATATTGCGCCTCGCCTATCGTCAGATTGCTCTCACTATTCGTAATGTTTACTTTCAATTTATTGCCGTATCAAACCGAAGGCTGACGTGAAACAGCTCGGGGCTCTCTGTGCCCGCGTGGCGCGGAGCGAGGGCAAGGGTAAGGCCAGGGGGAGGAGGGGGGGGGGGGCTGTGCTACTCTTAACTTGACGCACGTCAGACAAGCTTCAACTTCAATTAGGGTTATAAGGAAGGTGGTTCACATGAACTTAAATCATCGCAAAGCATATCTAATCATGGGGTGCCCTGCGCAATCCGTCGTAATTTTGATACTCTTTTAATAGAAGAATGTAAGCGGTGCGTGCAAACAAGATTACCAGCACACAAAGGAAATACAAAAAAAAAAAAAAAAAAAAAAAAAAAAAAAAAAAAACCACCCAACGCGTGATTATGCTGATTATGAAATCACCGTCACCAACTTAATGGTACATCACCATCTCAATGGTACCAGGTAATTACCATCACCAGCTCAATAGCACCATCTCAATGGCACCATCTCAACGGCACCACCTCTAAATGGCAAATGATTATGATTTTCAAGCTGCTGCAGCTGCCTTCCACCTTCCACCCATCCCTCGGCCTCTGGTGTGCGTCGCCGTCACCGTCGGCACCCTTCCCCTGTCGCGACCTACCCCACGGCCCCGCCGCCCACCGCCCGCGGGTCCCTCACCCCCCACCCCTTCCACCCGTCACCACGTCGATGCTGACCCTCCTCAATTTCACTCATTGTCTTTAATCTGCTCTAAATTTGCCTCCCGGGGCGACGGCGAGGCACGCGCCGGCGCCGCCCCCGCACCACCACGCCAACACCTCTCAGCGCAGCGCTCATGGACCGGTTACCCAACCCCTTGTTAGCCACACACGGCAAAAACACAAAATAATACTACAACAAAAAAAGGTTGAAAAGGGGATGAGAGAAAAAGAGAGGGGAAAAAAAGGGTGGTGTATGGGGACGACACCCCTTCCCTCCTCCCTCCCCTGCCGGTCCGCCGCGGTTGCGGCAGCAGAGGGAGTTGCAGTGGCAGCGCGCCGCGCGGCTGCGGTGGCGGCAACCCTATCCGAATTGAGCAATATCCACACCCTATCATATACCTTGGGCGACGCGCGCGCGCACACACACACACACACACACACACACACACGCGCGCGCGCGCGCGCTTAGGGCGTCAACAGGCGGCAGGCAGGGGTTTGACAGAATCCACTTTTTATGTTGTGATTTCCCCCGATTTCGCGGGGATAATGTGAAATGGAAACCGTAATTTTGTGTAAACATGTGAAGTGTGACGCGCTGCGCCATGGCCGCGCCCGCGCTGCAGTCGGAGAGATAGGAGCTGACGGGGGGAGGGGGGTTAAGTCCAAGGCGGCTGTAAGGCCAGAGGGAAGGAGAGGAGCAAGGGGGCGGGACTTTCTCTTGGCAGATGATGTATTTAAAAAAAAAAAAAGAACATTTAACGCTAAAACTAAAAGGGAAGCTACAGGGACCCTCGCACGGTAGTTTTTTTCTAGCCAATATGTGCTGTATACATTTTTAGTCGTTTTGATGGGGGGCAATCAAGGGAAGGTGTAAACTGCTTTCACAGTCCGTGCTCCTTGGCTTTACAGAGATTCTTTGTTCCCTGCAACCAGAACAACTTTGTCTTGAAACAAGGTAAAAATGCGGTAAATCAAGGAATTGTTACTTGAAAAATTACATGGAAACTTTTTCGTTCAATATGAGGCGAATAACGTTGAATTAATGAAAACCAACGTTTTGACCTTGAAAACAATGAGAATGTCGCCTTGCTTTAACAAGGCAAAAATCTGCCATGTGTGTTTTTTTAAACGAAATTTCCTTGACTCAAAGGTAAGTTATACCAGGTGGCTGATTAACCCCGCGCACTTCTAGAGTTAGACTATACCGCACGCACGAGTGTGGGCGGGTTGCCTACTCGCCCGGCCCGTAAGGCACCGTGGACAGGGGCGATAGGCAAGCCCGCACGCACTCCTGCGATATAGTCTAACTATAGAAGTGCGCGGGGTTAATCATCCACCTGGTACATTGGGCTGATGCCTTGCACACAATGACGTCGCCGCCAAGTTGTTTCTTGCAAACGCGGGGAATACCCACGGGCTTAGTTACTTTCAGATCATGTCTGGCGAGGCGATCCGTATCGCTATCTGTCGCCTGATAGCAAACGCGAGAGAACGCTCAGTCAGACGCAGCGAGCCCCGGTAGAGCGCAAACACCTGCAAGACCAGCAACACCGGACTCAACATGGAGTGCGACATCTGCCTAGAGGACTTCAACCAGGTGGAGCGCGTGCCCAAGATGGTGTCCTGCGGGCACACGGTGTGCCTGCTGTGCCTCCAGCAGAGCGACAGGCGGCAGTGTCCAACCTGCCGCAGGGTGAGTCCAGCACACAACTTTCACAGCAAACCCGACTACACTTCTACAAATGTTGTATCAGAGAACACCAAAAAAGTACACTTTACGTACAACACAGATCACGGGAGATCGTTCCACTTTCTTCTCGCGCATTGCTCGTAAGACTCAGTGCGTAGTACAGTTCGAGTAGGCAAGGACTTGACCATAGTGCATGCCGTGCTTTACTGGCAGTGAAGTGTACCTAGAACACGCCAGTAGAGTCGAGCAAGCACGCGAAAGAAAGTGAGTACTACGACAATAAGTATTCATTATACCTCCGTGAGCTTGCCTCCATGTACTGGGTGTATCTTTGAAGGGAGCACACGCAACCCACAACAATGCGGCGCACTCAAACATCCACCCGGTTCACTCTTTCCTAAGTAGAATGGACTTCAGATCCCTAATTTGAACTGAAACGTAAAATGTGTGGCCAGGCACGCCAGCCAAACGGTGGGCTCGCTACGCATTCCAAAACAGTTTTCTTATTCCCAGGTCTTCGACGTACCCCCCGATGCACTGCCCAACAACTACCAACTCCTGCGGCAGTTGGAACGCCCCGATAGCCCAAGGTGAGCACTTAATCTAGGACCGCACACGCAAAACTGATTTGGCGTGCACGACGTGCACGGATTTGTAATTTTCGTGCAAATGTTCGCACTAAGTTAAACATACGTTTCTTTACGTACAAATTTGTGCGCAAAATTAATGGCATGATTTTTTACAAATGAATGCACAAAAATATTCAAATCGACGCAGAAAAGGGTGCAAGCAATTGATTGCTGAAATTCGTACAAACAAAAGATAATCCAATTATAGGGCCCCCCGCGGCTGGTGCTCGGACTGCCGCGCCGCCGCCGCGCCCCGCTGCTGGGATGAGGCCCACGACGTCCTGCCCGAGAAGAGGGCCCTGAAGCGCCACCTACAGGGCGCGATGCTGCGGGCGGCTGGGCAGCTGGAAGACCTGCAAGACCACTGCCAGGGGGAGCAGGCCGTTCAGGCCCTCACTCTGCTCACGACAGAGTCCTGGTGCTTGAACCTGCAGGGCGGAGGTCACGACCTGACGGGCAACGTGAGGAACACGGAGGACCCCCTCACCCAGCTCATGTGGCTGCTGGTGGCCGCGAAGGCCGCTCTCACCAAGGTATGCAGCTACACGAGTCGAGTTCACCAATTAGAGAGGTTCACAAAGAAGGTTGTTCTTTTCTGGCTAACAAGTGGATACATTTTGTAATATTCGGTTGATGATATTACTGGTTGTCACAAAAAATCTCTTTGGAATCGCGTTTTCTTGATTACTCCCCGGATTATTCATTAATTAACAATGATAAAAAATAATTCATTCAATTATCAATTTAAATAAAACACTATCGGGACCGGGACCTGAATTAAGGTTCAAATTTACTGATCGCTTCGCAAGTGAGAGGCGGGCATCCAGAATGGAACTCGGAAAGGAGCGACAAGTGTTCAAAAGACTTGGGATATCGTGTGCTAAACTGACAAAATAAGTACATCATACCCAGGGCGGTCCTGCTTGTTATCAACCTGTAGGTCGATGCACCTCTTGGTTGCGCCATACTTTCTGCTTTTGCAGAGTCGCGTTGAAGCGCGGAGTCCCTCACCTGCCGCCGCGAGGCCTCCGCTTGCAGCCCCGGGCGCAGCACCTCCAGAGACACGCTATCCACCACCTGCCACCGCAACGCCTCCACCTGCTGCAGCCCCGGGACAAGCACCTCCAGAGGTGCGGGAGATGGATGTGGCTGAAGTAAGCCCGACCGGACCCAGTGAGCGGCAGCAGGACAAGGCGGCCCTCCTCGCGGAAGCGCCAGGGGTGAGTCAGTGCGTGCGGCGACCAGCGGCAGCCAGGGACTGCCCCGTTGCTCGTGGTGCTCTTGCGTTGCCCTGCCTGGCCATGTCCGCCGCAGGGTTAGATTGAGGACTGCGAACAGCCCCTGGGAGTGACTTTGATCTGCCGCAGGTGACCCAAGTGGTCCGTCTGTTCTGCCACAATGACCCCGCCTGGAGCCTCCAGCTGCTGCAGCGCGCCGCGCCCACGCTAGAGAGGCTGCGTGTGCTCTACCCACTCGAGCCCCACCTGCGCGCCGTGCACGCCATGCCGCGGCTGAGGAGGTTGGACGTGGAGGGTGGTGCTCCACTATTCGCCCAGCCCCCCGAGCTGCCTGCGGTCGGCGCGCTATCGTCGGGACACGCCGGCCTGCAGTGGCTCAGGGTGCAGTACCTCCCCCGCGCCACGACACAGTCCCTGCTGCGGGCCCACGGCAGCACGCTGGAGGAGCTGGAGCTGCTGGTGGGCACGGCGGGGAGAGGAGAGTGGCCACGGATCTGCGACGATCTACACTCGCTGCTGCAGCAGAGTGGGCTGCGGGCGCTCAAGAGGCTCGTGCTGCGGAGGTGGAGCAGCGGCCACAGGGCGGCCGCCTGCAGCGAACAGCGCGCCCAGGTGCTGCGTGTACTGCCTGGGGCCGACGTGTTGTGCGTGGAGTGTGACGATGTGGAGCTGGGACAGGTATAGGGGCGCAGCGCAGGCCGGACTGAGCGCAGTTACATGCGGAGGAAACCATTCGGTTATCTGACTGGCAGTTTCATCGATGATAAATGGGGAATGGGAAAGAGGGGGTTAGGGAGGCATAATTACGTGAACAAATAAACGCATCTATAAACTGCATTTTGGGGTCAGTTTTTATTTGATTCGATGATACTTTTCACACAAACATTTAACTTTGGCACTTAATAACTTGCGAAACAGTCCATACACCTTCCTCCGAAATAGTCCGAAATAAAGGCAAATTAAAAGCGAAATAGAGCGAAATAGACCCGAAATAGACGCGAAATATTTGGTGAAATAGTCGCGAAATACCCCTGAAATACACTGAAATACCGCGAAATACCCTGAAATAATCCGAAATAGGCGAGAAATAACCGAAATGGCGAGAGAAATACTACCAAATAGCCCGTACGCTACGAACCCAAGTAATTTCCTCTCGGTATCTACGTACAGTAGAGCCCGATATAAAATCTTTGTGTCGGTACGACGGATACGTAATGTGGTAGCTTATAGCGCGCTCTCTGCTGCCGTGCTCCGCGGACCGCGATCTGCCCTGCTTACTCCTCCTATGAGTAGTTCATCCTACGAGGTTCTTCTGTAGAATCCTGCTCAGAACTTCACATCTCTACCAAACAATCACCACACCGTCAATGAGAAAGGAAAACATTACAGTGTACTTCGCCGTGACTTGGATTGCATCGCATCGGGGCGCCCCGGAGCCCCTCACAGGGACGGGGCGGGCCACCCGCTCGCGCGCTTGTCGTCGGGTTGCCTACCCGGGGCCCCGGGGGGCGGACGTAGTCCTCGTGGAGGACAACTGGTGTCCTGTGCCCGGGCTGACAGTACGCCGGGGTCGGCGGTAAGTACAGGGGGAAGTACATAAGGCAAGGGGGAGAGGCGCAGGGAGCGGGACTTTCGCTTTATTAGCACACATGGTATACCGTATTCCGGGTCGTATTCAAGTAAAAGATGCATTTCGCACTGAACTACACCTTGGCGAAAGAGAAGCTACAGGAATCCTCGTAGGGTATAGTTGTTTCTGGTATATGTGACGTATTTTTGGTCGTTTTGAAAGGAAGCACATCCTCGTCGACCCTGCAGATTCTTTGTTCCCCACAATGAGGCCGACGTGGCTTGGCTGAACTGCCACTCAATGACGTCACCGACAAGTTAGTCTTTTGCGACACGGGGAATACCTGTGAGCTTAGTGCAGCCGCCTCGCTAGAAGGAGTAACCTGGCGGAACAACAGCCAATAGCCGTGAGCAGAAATTTCTACTTGTCTTGTATCAGCAATTGTCCAGCGCTCAACGATAAAGTTTTGTCCATTATTTAGTATTCAGTTTACATCCGCGCGTTTGTTAAATTAGAAGATAGCCAACCGCCATGATACAGGGAAAAAATTTGTCCTCACTAACTGTGGCAACACACTGTTAGCTGCCACAGCAAATTTCTTGTCTATCCCAAAATTAGCTAATTTATTAGTTGTGACAACTAATTCTTTTTACTCGTTCTTTAACTCCCCTTACTTTATATACCGTGAGGTAAAAAGAACGAGTTTTGTCCTTGGTGTGGTATAATTTAGAAACATCTATTCATCTCTGTGAGTAAGGAGCTTACAAGTATGAATGAATGCTTATTCTACTCAGGGAATCAGCCCTGATATTCCATAATAGAGGTTTTTTTCAGTTACGTTTGAGAAATACGTTTGAAAGGAACTGGAAAATAAAAATATGCTATTAACGAACTGGAACCCTGACACTAACATTTCTCTTTTAGCCATGTTTGAGAAATATGTTTGAAAAGAATTGGAAAATGAAAATATGCTATGAACAATCTGGAACCCTGACCCTAACATTTCTCTTCTAGCCATGTTTGAGAAATATGTTTGAAACAAATTGGAAAATGAAAATATGCTATAAACGAACTGAAACCCTTGTGAAATTACACAATAAAACCATTTTAGATTCCTATGACTTCCCCTCCAACAATTACAGTCGCTATTAGATTCTACAATTTTGATAAAAATAGCCCGACTTCTGATTCTTCTGTTGCAAAGTGTATCTTATTATCTTAAAGGGTGTTTTGCAAAAAGTTGATTATGTATGAAAAAGGCTAAACTAGTAACACAATAGGTATGCATGCCATATACAAATGAGTAATTCAGTATAATGATACAATACTGCATATTTACAATCATAAACACATGAAAGTTTGCTAAATTGTTAGTAAATGTTTCACTACAACTTTACTAACTTATAATAGATGTTTCACTGAAAACACATCATATATTCAGGGTTGGTGTAAAGAACGAGTTTATCTTTTTAACAGCAAATTAATTTGATGTTTCCTCTGCTCCTTGTTTTTCGTGTAGGGACTATTTTCTTGACGCGCAATGTTCAAGTTACTCCTTATAGCGAGGCGACTGTACCTTTCAGTTCAGGTCTGGCGAGGGCGACGCGGTCCGTATCGCTATCAATCGCCTGATAGGACGGTAGGACGGTAGGACGCTCAGTCAGCCACAGCGAGACCAGCAGCCCCCGACTCAACATGGACTGCGACATCTGCCTGGAGGACTTCAACCGGGAGGAGCGCGTGGCCAAATTGGTGCCGTGCGGGCACACCGCGTGCCTGCTGTGTCTGCAGCGCAGCGATAGGAGGCAGTGTCCCACGTGCCGCAGGGTGAGTCCAGCGCACAACGTTAAATAACTAATTCAGCGTTTGCCTCTTAATCCTTTCTTTTAATCAGTTCAAACAAGTCCCTCACTCTCTCACCTTACACAGTGTTGTCCCTCTCCGAAGCCTTCGGCGTGCCACTCGGTTCAGGTCTGGAGCGCGTCTAAAAGCTCGCTACCGCCGCGAAGCCCGCGAGGCCCAGGCGGGCGACCACAGGGGTGCAATTCAGCGAATTCAGCACCCCTGCGCCCGCTCGGTGCAGCTCTCGGGGTGTCGCAACGCCGCTGATGAATGTTTGAGTTGCAGATTTCACAGTCGGCGGCGCGCGGCAAGCGACCTATTTGCCGGTCACTTTTGACAATGCTAACACTACCTCACACCACCTTTCGCAAACGAGCCTCTACGCTCACCCGCTGCAGGCCTCTGGTACCGGGTGTATCTTTGAAAGGAGAACACGAAAACCCGCAATACTGAGGCGCACTCAAACATCCACCCGGTTCACTCTTTCTTAAGTACAGTGTTGGGTTTGCAGAGTGGACTTCAGTTCCCAAATTTAAACCGGGACGTCTGTTGTGTGACCAGCCACGCCAGCCACACATTCTGCTCGCAAGCACCCCAAACAGATTTTTTATTCCCAGGTCTTCGACGTATCCCCGGATGCACTGCCCAACAACTTCCAACTCCTACGGCAGCTGGAACGCCCAGACAGCCCAAGGTGAGCCCTTAATCTAGGACCGCACATGGTAAACGGATTTGGCGTGCATGTGCACGGATTTGTAATTACCGTGGAAATGTTCGCACTAAGTACACTGTGAAAAATAGTAGGTAGGTTTACAGGAAAATTCTCCTTGACGCAAGTTGTAAAATTACAATTTGAAATCGTAAAAATACATGCAGTACATATCGACTTAAAATCCATTGGCGAGTAAAAAATCTGCTCTCGTAACTTTATAACTTGAATCATAATTCGAGTTTACAAAAAGTTTGTAAATTTACGATGATATTTTTTACAGTGGTACTAAGTTAAGCCTACCCGGGTGGAAGGATCTGCATTTTGGAATATAGCGATTCACTACACTCGGACCAAATTTGCCTTTGCAATGTAAGTGTACATTGACTACTTTCTGATTGCGGATAATGTAGATTTTGTATTGTGTCTAGTATCTAGTTTAAAACTATCCTTTGACTCCATTCAAAATGCATATGGGTGATATAGTAAACATGTAGTTTAACTATAGTAATCTGTTGTAAAACTACAA